GCATAACTGTAACGCACAGAACCATGCCAAATACCTCCGTTAAGAAAACCACTGAGCTTGTAATAGAAAAGTATATAAACATGGAATGAAATAAGAATAAAGAATGAAGGATAAAATTATTATAATAATAAGAAATAGTAATCCTTTTAGGAAGCAAAACGAATGTCAGAATTGCTAATGAATTGGGCAAAATTCGATGCACATTTGTCAAAAAACGTAAAATTTGCCAACTGTATGACTGGGAAACCAAACTATGGATTACAGACAATCTAAGTACTGAGTAAAATTCTCAAAAATATTAATAAATTTAGAGAAAATGAAGGCAAATACCTAATAAATTGATCAAAAGCATCTTCAAACGGATGATTTCTCACGAACAGTGAATCAAATTCGTTGAAAAAATTGATCTTTGTTAGGGCATCAGTAGATGCAGCACGGATTTGATCCAATGCAACTGTGCTCAAAGATGCGGCCAAATTATGATATCCTGTATAATCGAGAAATACAAAATCGAAATGCGACAAAAATTGGGAATGCAATGCATCATCGATTTTCTCGCATAAACTCAGCGGAGTTTTCGTCCAATTTATTGAAACTGAAATACAAAACAAGTATTTTCGAATGATAGATGGATTAACATTTGTCGCTAATTTAAATTTCTTCTAGTAACAGTTAGGCATCATCATCATCATCATCATCATCATCATCATCATCATCATCCTGGCAACATTCAAATAAAGTGCTGTGCTTAACAGAGTACAGTTTCCAGGTATGAAGAAGGTTACCTCAATCTCAAGCTAACCCAGACCCGAATCTTAACCCGTTGTAACGAGATACGCTGCAGTCAAAGGTTGTGAGTAAAGATTTAATTACAGCACTAATAAAATATAACAAACAATTGCAAAGGAAACAGCGGCGCAAGGAGAGACGCAGGGCGTGAATAAGAGGGCTGGCAAGGAGCAGAGGTCAACGATGCGAGCACGTTGCAAGCAGTGGCCGAAGAGTAATTGATACGGCGGCAGCGGTTGTGAACTGTGCACACACTGTGCAATTGCGGAGGCGCACTGGCTGTCCCACAACCTTGCTCACAGTCCCTTACTAAATGTAACGCACACAACAACAGAGCAAAACATAGAGATCACTGTCTTACCTCCCGCCAGTGCGGGGGTCTTACATCACATAAAGTTCTGAGGCTCAATTCTCATGCCTTTGCTTATTCACCTATACAATTTTACATTTCAAATGTGGTAAAATTGTAAGAATTAGACTTCGCTATTATTATAAGTTAAGGCTGATGAGATGTGCAAAACCGCTTACTAACTGAGCTGAAAAATGCTGTAATAACGTCGATAACTGGCGTTTGTGCCGCAAAACTGCCTTGTCTATGGAGAAATATAAACCAGGCCGCAAGCAACAAATCAGAGAAGCCATCGACTCTCTAAAAACAGCAAATAATGAAATTTTAATACAAATCTTTTCATTCACTCCGGTCCTTCTCATTTCATACATACTTCGTTGCTCACTTTGGTCCCTCTCACTAAATTTTCCTCGTTTTCCCCTTGTTTACACCCTTTCCACAAGGCGTTTTAGGCATCAAGTATGATGTAACAATAACACAGAAAGCCCACTGATCCTCCGTCCCTCTCATCCCCCCAAAAAAAATTCTTAAAATTCCCAATACAAAAACTCCAAGCCAATAATTAGATTTCATATAAATGCCATGTGTCTTTACAAAAAAACATATTAAAAATTATCAATATTAAGATATACCTGTGCAAAACCTCTTCGATACATCCAC